GCTCTGACACAGGAGCTCTGCCCACGCAGCTTGAATCAATATTTAGTTCTGCAGTTTTCCCACTCCTTCAGAAAAAGATAACTGGGACATTATGGTGCCAAGTGTCATTCTACTTGCAAGCTCAAGCATATGTACCAAACACCTCCTTTTTAGCAATAACTTGCCGACTAACTCGTCAGTGTCTCTACGGTGCTGCTGCTGCATGCAGGGAGGTTTTCAGCAAACTGGAAAACACACCTACCAAGGCTGGGTAATAATTCTTGTGATAATCAAACACAGTTCTCTCCCTTTTTCTTTTTGAACAGCAATGTGAAGAGAAAATCTCTTCAAACTAGCATGACACAGAAGTCTAAGACCTCTGCTGGTATAGATATTTAGGACTAACTACTTGAGCCTAGATTTTACCTGGTAGTTACGCCCAACCCCTCCTAACACTCAGCTGGAAGCATGCAGAACCAACCCCATCCATTTGGGTCAGAACCTTCCCACATGCCCACAAAAATACAAGTGAAAATCATCGCCCACATTTTGCTAATTCACAGAATCCCTTTCTCAAGGAAAAACATGCTTGTCTGCAACTGACTGAGAGAGAGCCCAGGGCAGCACAGGATGAAACAATGGACTGAGTCTCCAGTCAGCACTGCCTAATGAAAAAATCTTGAGGGTATAGCAATATGTGCAGCTTTTATCTGTGGGAGTGTTGTTCACTCCTGAACTAGGATATGAGCACCTAGCTCAGGTAAGCAGCAGTGACCCAGTTACCTGCAGACTCGCTGTGCTGTACTCGCTGCACCCTCAGCTACAGGGATCACACGGTAACATCAAACCAAGCAGTGAAGCTTGAATCCAGGTCTGCAGCAGGCCAGCAGCATCCACTTACACTCAGCAAACACGCTCTGAAGCACCAAAGACTGGCAGCAAGTATCTCCCTCGGCTGAGGTCTTGCCTATACTGCAGAATGCAGTTGCCTAGAGCACAGAATGCAACTGGAACAAGTGTGGGCCAACCCACAGCAAACCTAATCCAAGAAATAAAATCTAACAAATTCACCTAGTGAGTCCAGGGGAAGATGAGGACAGACTTCAGCCCAGGCCAGCAACATGAGCACAAATGCAGGAAGCCCAGCAGGTTGCACATCCTGTTCCACAGCATCACCAGGGCTATTCTTAGCTGCAGGAGCTGGTGCAGGAGGGAAACACTGGGAAGCCGACCAATGCTGTAACTAGAAACAGAGCTTGGGTGATGGGGGATGGGGATTGCCATTTGGTCTCAGCAATACATTAAGGTTTGTGTTGATTGTCATAAAAAAAAAAAAAAAGGATAAACCAAATCACAAATATATATATAAATGCTAGCCAAAGTTTCGGTGGCAAGGCTTTCATGCCAGGTTTGGGATGCTAGCACAGATCAGCCTGAGAAGGTGCCTGCTGAAAGTGCTTGTCTGCCTGGACTCAGACACTCCCATCCCATCCTTCTCCTGTGGCATTAGGTCTTCCAGTGGAAAAGCAGCAAGGAGTTGTTCTGGGAGCTGGATCTGGTCCTTGTGGTCAGGCAACTATCTGGGGTAGGAGGTCTAGGAATGACACGGGGGAAGATTTGTGTAGCGAAAGTATAGACCTGAAGCTTCTCTTCCTGCTAATTTAAAATTCCCACACCAGCATGTCTCATAAAGGATGTTCATAGTAATTCAAATCACATCTTTTCATGAAGAGGTAGAGGCTGCTTTGGAAAATGGCAAAGCTCAAGCTCACATGCAGTGCTTACAGCACAACCAAACATACCCTCCTGCACATATAACTGATAATGTGGAATCACTTTTCCCTCTTGAAGCAGAAAAAGGAGGGCTCCAAAACGAACTCATCACTGCAAGCTTGTATTAACAGCTCGAAGCAGGTATTGGTCACCATCCTGCCCTCCTCAGTACTAGTGCTGGCAGCTGCAGTCAATCCTTTTCTCCCAAAAAACTGTGCAAACTGCAGTGTTTCTGAATTGAAACAAATGAAGCCGAAAAGCACCAAAGCATCTTCTGCTCTAAAGCAGCTTTCTTCCAAAGACATTGAAATAACAGTATAGAGTCCTATTAGGAACCCTACCTTATTGACCCTTATGCCAGATATTTAAGCATGGTCAATTAACAGGTCAAGAAGATTTTATTCTTTTCAAAAGCTGTTTTCCTTTGAGATAAAAAAATGCCTTTTGCATAATTAACTCTTCACAATACTAGAACTAAGCAACTATTCTTTTAATTGCACCTGAAACCCAGACAGAGGCCAGGACTGTAAAGCCCATTTACTAACCTCCACCTCCTCTATTTGTGCTCTTTTCATCTTTTTTTTTTATGTTCTGGGAGATGGTGGTTTCTACTAGTTAGATTCCTTCCTGGGAGCTGATCTGAGAAAGAAAATTCAACTAAAACTATTTGATAGTCAAGAGCTCCATTTATTTTCTCAGAACTTTAATACTTAAAAACAAACCAAACCAAACAAACAAACCACCCCCCCCCCCAAAAAAAAAAACCATCCAGGCTCTTTTCCAGCTGTTTCAGGCTGGGTTTGACATCCCTTTCTCCGTGGGAATTGCCCCCCCAAAAAAAAAAAAGAATTATTTATTTTAAAAGAAGGCAAAAAGAAATATCATCAGTTAACAAGCTATGCCAATTATATTTTAACATTGTTCAGAAACAGGATCCAGGACATGAAAAAAATAGAAGCCAAATTAATCCCATGTGCTTTTTGGAGACACACAGATGAAAGATATTTTTCAGCTTTGTGGTTTTGCTTTTCAACTACTTAGACAACACGGTGAGTGCAAAAAATATAAATGTGAGCCTGCTAAAACATGGTGCTATACCTCACAGGCAGCTAACCACACAAAGCAAAGGTCACAAGGAATAATCAGACCTTCTGTTATCAGCAAAGCTACATTTGATTTGGAAAATTGTCAACTCTGGCTTTAGCTCAGGCAAATGGAGCATCCACTTTTTTCTGCCTAGCAGAGAAAGGAAAAGCCAAAGATACCGTGGACCAGAACCACTTAAATGCATACCTAAAAAGGGTGTAACTGATGCTATGCTATGGAACTAAAATAGTCAGAGCATATTTATATGCTTTTAAATATAGTTAGCAGTATTTCCCATTCCCTCCATGTGGAACTCGGAACATCTAGCTACAAAATTCACCCCCTCCATCCCCCCGGTCTCTCCATAGCTGAAGAGATTAGAAAGTGCAGCCAAAGCAGGGGGCAGGGGAAGGAGAATGGCAAGAATCTTTATCCCTCCTCCCCAAACTCCACCAGGCAGTGTTCAATAAATTCAGATGGCCTGATTTCAGAAGCTAACAGTAACATCAGTGTAACTAAACTTGTTAACAAGTGTCAGGACACTCAGTGGGATTTTTTTCTCTTTCTTTCTGGAGAATGGGGAAAAGGAATAAATCCTGGAATTATACCAAACTGACAGTATTTCTACAGCAAATTTAGAAATATCATAGCAGTCCTGATTTTAATACATCCATAAAATCCAGGTACTTTTTTCTTTAAAAGCCAGGCTACACTGGCAGAAGCTTTGGACTCACTCCCACAAGTAATTCCTGGCGTGCAAGTAAGTACTCGTCAGCCTGATGAAACTATTTAAGAATACAAAAATTTTCAGGTCTGAGCCCTTGCCATGACTTTTGGGGAAGTCACAAGTTGGGGCTGGTTCTTTTACATAACTCTGTGTATGTCCATACCACACACTGCGATGTGGCAACTACAGATATTACCAAAGCCCACACTGGGTGTTGAAAGCAATCGAGCTACAATTATTAGGGGTTCCACAGAAACAATTTACTCTGCTAAAAAGGAAGACTGATGGTACTGTGGCTAGCCCACTGAGTGTCTGAATCAGTTCTGCACTGCATCTTAGGTGCAGATATAATCTAGGAAGTGATTCTAAAATAGCACGTTCCTGGATGAGACATGTAGTAAGGGTAAAATATTTCATCCAGTGATGTTTGGTACATCTCTGACACATTTAATCCGAAGCCTAAACAATCTAGACACTGAAGTACAAACTTAATTCTTCCTTAAAATCAGTGTTCCATAGTTGTTTTTATTTTTAAAATTCAGGAATGTGATACACAATACAATTAGCTCCCCACCACTGCAGTGTTCACTTACATGAGATTCACTAGTTTCATGCTTTGTGGAAAAAAGAAGAAAATAAAGAGAGACTGTGCAGTGCTTTTGAACGCTCTCAGTATTCTTAAACTACGATCTTCTGAACAAATCAAGTCTGTATAACCCCAGACATTTTTAAAAATCTAGCTGTTTCACAAGCTAGCGGGCTACAGTCGAGTCTCCTACAGCCAGAATGGAGAAATTGTGTTTCTGCTGCTGCACAGCCACCACCTTGACCTTACTTTATTTCAGGGGGTTTACCATCAAGGGCTAAGGAGACCAAAGGGCCCTAGTAACACCAGCTGGTGCTGCATGTGCAACAGGGCACATGACAGAGAGGCCATGCAAGTTCCCCTTTTCCCCCCATCATCATCACCATCATGCATCACCTCTGCACCCTGTCCTGATACTTAAAAAATGAGGGGGAGAGCTTTTTGTCTTTTTAGCTAGCCATTGCCTGCAATGGACACAGAAATAGAAAAATATTACTTCTGGCACAAAAAAAAAAAAAAATTAAATAGATTAAAATGGAATTTAGTAACTACAATTCCCTCTATTCAGATGCATTTACCAAGACCAACGATGGTAACTGTTATGACTTACTAGTTGCTCTCTTTTAACAAGAGCAACAGCAGAGAAGTCAATCACTTCTCAGTGCTACCATGGTTTGATTTGTTGGTATTTTTTAAAATAAACTAAGGAACGGTAGTTCTATGGTGCATTAATGATATATGGCAGAACCTCAACAATTCATACTATTGAGACGAATTTTAAACTAGTGATTAAAATAATTAGTGAAAGTTTACCATAGAAAGCAAGGATACACATTAAAAAAAAAAAAGTACTTTGTTCATTTCAAAATTTACTTGGTTAATACTTTGTAGTATAGTAGCAGTGGTAGCATACTCGGCAAACGTAGTCTCATACAAGATCTCATTTAACAGTCAACTCTAGATCATATACAGGTAACAGAAAAAAGAGTTCAGATAATTCAGAAAACCCAAAAACATATATAAATACTATATTAACATATTTAAGTTAGTTTATGAGACTATACAACAAGCATAAACACAGAAAAAGATGAGCAATGCTGGTGGCTGCGATGCACCACCATCCCAAGCCAGCACAAAGCCGAGTCCACCCATCCACAGCCCACAGCTTCCTGCAGATGCATCTGAGCAGCCAAGGGGCAAAACCCTCGGGCAGTGCTGTGCTGCAGCCCAGCAATGTGGCCTGTGATGGGGCTCGCTGGAAGCAGAGCCAGCACCTCCACCTTTCCTTGCTTTGGCACCCAGCACCTGGCCAGAGCGTGGAGTGAAACAGGGCTGGTCTTGGCTCCGCAGACTGCACAGGTAATGCACAACACTGGTAATCCACCCATGGATAATCAAGAGTTGACTGCAATGCTCTGCTGAGAGCTTGGGTAAGACCACTAACATGACTCGGGCCAATCCAAGCAGCAGGACTATTTTTTGTACTATTTAGGAGCAATTATGATACAAGACACAAATTAGAAATGCAAACTAGGGAGGTGTTCTGTATCTGGAGGCAAAGCTACATTCCCTTCACTAACAAAACATTCTTTTTAAAAAAATCTATATTTAAATACTGTTAAAAACCTGAAAACCACAGCATCAAATAATTTCATAAGGCCAAAACTATCCTCAGTTCCCTCTGGTTGTGCCTACGTATTGCAATACATTTGCAGAAGTAGTAAATGCCAGGTAATCTTATCCTCTTTCCAGTGCCTTCCAGTAACAGATCTCAGAGCTCTTCACACAATAGTTAAGCCTCACAACACCCCTGTGAGGTAGGTATTATCCCCATTTGAAAACAGGGACACTGAGGCAAAGTATTTATCATGTCCAGAGTCATAGAGCAAAGAATGGAAGATCTGAGTTGTTTTCCAGTTTTGCACACAGGAGCAATCCATTAATCGCAAGACATTAGTTCCTGTATACAATGTGAGAGTGGATCAAAAGGGCCAGGGTTTTAGATTAGATTTCTTGTATGTTTTATCTTTCAACTCTCCTCTCATCTCTGCCAAACTCACAGAGTCCACAGAGCAGTTTCTCCTTTCCTAAGGTGTAAGCTGGCAGCACACTGTAACAGCTTCTTTAGAGCCAGTTGTCAGTTAACTGAGTCAATATTTTAAACCATAGATTCAGATACTGAGTAAGTGAAATTATGTGATACATAAACATCTCAAAGTGTGAAATACAGTGAATGAAATCTTACTCCCTGCACCACTTCCTCAAAAGTCAGTGGAGGGCTCCTGAGGACACGGTGGGGGGCCAGGACTGAAATCACTTCAAGTGTTTACAGACACACTCAGCTAGAGGCAAAATGCACCCTTACATTACTTGTTGGGGAGCTGCTGTCTGTGCTTGAAAGCAGGACTTATGTTGTCGGTGCTTGGCAGACCTTCCCCAATAGAGCACTTATTGACAGAACTAATTATTTTATCTTCGTAAACTCAGCATCAGCTAAATATTTATTCATAGCACTGTTGAGTCAAGGGTTCTTTAAACCCCAAAGACTTTCATGACCAGAACCAACTTGGAAGTAAGGGGGGAAAAAAACAGAAAATCCATAAAATGTACAAGTCTTTGTGCATTTATGTGTATGAAGTGTTACTTCATCGACCAGTCTCATGTCTTGACCACAGAGCAGTATACAGTAGCTCGAACTGCCATTCTGACAGGAAAAAACCCTTTCACATCTGTTGTTTTCAATTACCTTGCTACCTTACCAGAAGAAGAGGGGACAATTTCTGACAATCACATGATGTTGTCTTTAAAATATGCTGTGCGATAAATTTATTAGAAAAGCCTTCACATTTTTTATTATTATTACATAACTTTAGGAAAAATACGTGAAACTGCAAAGTGGTTTCCAGTTTTTAGTATATATTTTTTAAATGTTCTATGAACTTTGGTTTTCTTAGGGCTTCTAAATAAACAATATATTAAGATATCTACAAATCAAATATTAAATGAAAAAGTAGGTCCAAGAAATCTGTAACACAAATTGAGTTCCTACATGCTTATCCCTCAAATACCTTTTCACTGGAAAAAGGTATCTTAATTTGAAGCACAGCAAAAAGTGTCTCTGCTGAAATGTTGAAACTGGTTTTCTGAAGTGTTACAGCATGGGTGCACTGTCTGTCTCAGTCAAACAAAGTCAACACAAACACATTGTATCATGACAGTGACATTATATTCTTTAAAACAAGCATTCTATATTTAGCAATATGACAAGAACAAGGACTTCAGCAATTACACTATTTGGCAAAACTGCATCTCAAATGTCTGTCTCTTCCTCTTGCAACACGGCTGTTAACAAAGTCTCCACAACTCAGGTAGCACCCTTCAGGGAGTTACAAAGATGACTCAAACTGCTCGTTCTGATCGGTGTTGGCCTCCAGCTTCACTGAAGGGATGCTCTCCGACTTAGTCCTCCTCGTTTTCGGAAATTCAATGACAACTTCTGAACAAGAAATACTAAGTGACGAGGATTTTTCTGTCTTCTTTGCAGTACTATCTTCTCCTGCTCCGCAACACTGCTTCAAAGCACACTGAGTCCTGCAAGGCAACTCGCATTTCCCTCTCCCTGACTCGGAGCCAACGCTGGCAAACTCAGGCTGAATGGTAGTTGCATGAATCCCTTCGTCGTGAAAGATCTCTTTGATGCGCTTGGCCACCATCATGTACGTGGAAGGGTCAGGACACTTGATGTGAGCAGTGCCAATGATCCTACTGCCTGCTAGCTGCCAAATGTGTAATTCGTGGATTGCTTCGACTCCTTCGAGGGTACGTAACTTTGAGTTCAAAGAATGGACGTCTATTTGTTTGGGAACAGTCTGTAGAAGGATGAGGGCTGACTCCCTAAGTAACGGGTAAGTTGTGTAAAGGAGTATACAGACCATAATCAAACAGAGGACAGGATCTAAGTATAACAACCAGCAAGGACCAGCCACCGTAATGCTCTCTTGCTCGGATTTGTTAGCTCTGCCAAATGCTTGGGATAAAGTAGCATTTTCCATGCAATGATCATTGACACATGGATTAAAGCAAGGCCCATCTTCAGGGCATGGATTCCACAAGCCATAAAAGAGCAAGGCATTCACTACCACAATTACTGAACCTAAGGCATCTCCAAAAACATGCAGAAAAACTCCACGCATGTTAAGTTGTGCACTAGAGTCTTCTTCAACTTCCTCTTCATCTAGAGGATAATGGCCAGCATTCCCATTCACTTGTACGTCACTCAGGTCATCTTTCATATCACCTGACAAGAAAATAATAAAACAATTAGGCAGGAGATATAATACAACATGTTACTGCAAGTCCTTATAAAATCATATCCAATGGAAAGCATGGCACACTGAGTATGAAATCAAAAAGCAACTCAACCCACACACTTAGCAACATCATCTCTGGCTGAGGAAAATTCCGTTTTCCCAATAAGTGATCTAAATAATCTAGAAGGCAACTGTTTCTACATGGAGATTAAAGATGTAGAGTGGCAAAGAATGAAGTTTTAACTTACTCTACTGAAAAACTACTTTCACCTTTTCCAGCTGTTTAACCATTTGCCTATTCACTGCTTGTTTCTTAAACAAAATGCAGAACTACAGAGGATATGTAAAAAAGCTGGTTTACGTAGCTCAGTTAGTCACATTTCTTCCTTCTTTTGAAACACCAATAGAGTGATCACATTGCTAAAATCCATCTTTAACCACAGCACTGCATTGCTATTTCATATTAAAATTTGAAGCTGGAAGCTCAAAAGCTGTATGAATACAGCTATGTAGCAGCTTCTTTACAGGTTTGCCAATGCCTTTTCAAGAGGCTTCTGAATTCAAGGAAAAGGAAGTTCTTCCATGGAGTTAGCAGGACCATGAGATACAATCAGCTGAAATCAGAAATTTTAGGTCTAAAGAGCAGACTTTACCAGCAGAATTGACTATACAGCAGTGTAAGTTATCATTGAAACTCTCTGAGGAAATGAACTACTGTTATTTATATTTCAGAATAAATGAATAAATAGTAAAATTTTATCTTTTTATGCAAGCGGCATATAACTGTTGAGTGACATACAGCCTGTGATGTCCAAAGTCATACGTCATAGATTGTGCAAAAATTAGCATTTTAGCGCCCTCCTTTCTCACAACTGTCTGCAATATTTACCACTCCAACACAGCTAACCAGCTACATGGGAATAAATACACACATTGTTACAAAGAAGAATCCTTTCTCAAAGAGAATCATCTCCCAGTGTTCACAATGGAGAGAATTGTACATGATTAAACGCCTACTTTTCTTCAGAAGTTCTTCTTTGGATACTTCCAGTGCTAAAGAAATGCAACAGGCACTGGCCCCTGGCCCGACAAACTGAAACAAGGAGCTCTTACTGCTTCTGAGGTTATTGAGTTCAGAGCTTTGTAAACATTAACACGTTAATAAGACGTGCAGCTTCTGCTGTTCTGCCCTTGTGGCTGCAATTCTGCAATTGCAGAGTGCACACAAGTCCTCTCCTCTCTGAAGAAGGAGTGGGCTCCTACCAAGGCTGAGTTCCAAGCCCCAGCTCGTGACCTCATCCAGTACGCTTCTGCCCTGAAGCTCCAGCTACATTTTCCACACTACCTCTAGGAGTTATGGAACATGGGACCAGTAACTTTCCAGAGAAGTAAATACATTAGAGGGAAATATCTCAGGTTACAGAGTTCAGATCTCAAGGTCCATAATGAAAGCAAGGAAAGAGGAACGCTCTACTTTGTAACAAGTGCTTGGAAGAATGGAGATCTGAAAAGTCAGTACAGCTATCTGTAAGAATGGGTAACAGGAAATATAGTTCCAGAAAGCCCTTGAACTTTTTTTTAATGGAAAATGGTTAAAACATGCCCATTTGAAATATGTTCATTGAAATCTAACAATAAACTGATTATTTTACATAAAGTGCATCCATAGAAATGCCTGCGCAGGACTAGCCCCTAAGACTAATGCCTACTTTACCACCTTAGGAAATCAGGACTATCTCACTCTGCCATTCCCAATGAAGGAACAGGACCACCTTTGTCTTCATCTCTACATCTTACATCTTCTCCCAAGTCTCCAATCACCTTTACCTGTAACTTTTCCATAGGCAAACTATGAATAGCTCCATCCATTACATAATCATGACAGGGCACAGAAGGAAACACAAACTTATTTCAAAGTTTCACTGTGACCAAAATTATGCCCTATTACCTCCTAAATACCCACAACAAATTATTTGTTATTGCCAGAAGCACATCCATGAGACATTCCAGACAAGCTAGCTCACAACAATATGCATTTTAATCTATGCCATAACCTTTTGCTCTAACTAGTCCAAAACTTGGCTAAAAGCACAACTTTTCACAATTAAAGAATAGTTCCAAGCCAAGATATGTATGAGACCAAGGGTTAAGCGAATTTTACATTGTTTGAAATGAATTATTGGGATACCTTTGTTGGAACTAAACCAACATTAAGAGCTTATTAGTGGTCAAGAAAATGGTGTAGTGCATTCAGAAGAACTTTCCTATCCTCTTGAAAACCTCTCTTTCCAAAAGCCAACACGGAGTCGGAGAAGCAGAAACTAAGTTTCTCAAATGTGTACTGGAACCTCTGACCACAGAAAACCTGAAACTGTAGCAAAGTATCACTCCCAGCAAGTAAAACTCCCTTTAAGCTAAAACAATGGTCTGCAGATGTCACCCTGAAAGAGAGAAATTGGTTGCAAAGCCTGAAGTCCATTCGTTCTGGTGACAAGAATGCACTAGGAAAAGGGAAGTGGCAGTCACACACACCTTTCACTCCGCTAGCATGCTTGGCTTTGACCAAGCAGCTTCAAAATGAACTATCCGGGCTTCTAAAAAATAACCCAAGAAATTCCTTCCACGAAATAGTTTAACCACAATTGGGAAGGGAAGATTTTAAATGTATGTCTTTAAATGTGTGCAGGTTGAGTGGGAAGGCGCATGCTTTAGAAAGCTAAAGAAAAATTATTCCAAGACACCACACATGTGCCCTGACACCAGCACGCTCCACATTCTGGCTTCCACAGTTCTGACTGGCAATTTCCAAGACTTCTTCCTATTAACACCTAAGCTATGAAGAAGCACAACATTGCAGTGGAATAGACTTCAGCATGTTTGGTTTAGATGCAGCGTAGCTTCCCAGGTAGCTGATAACTGACCCAATGGAGCAATGCAGCTGTCGGGACCGAGGCACTGAGCCGCGCTCCATTTGATGTGCAGCCAGTTCGGATGGCATTAGGAGAGCGTCTTGTGACAGCTCGTGTCGCTAGGCAAGAAACGCCTGTCATGTGGGACAAAGCCTCCCCTTGCAGAACCAACTTTTCACCCAGGGCAAACTGCTTTACCCTAAGATTCTTTTACACTCTGTCTCCAAGACAAACATGCAGCTTAGCGCATCCGAAGGAAAGGCGTGAGGAAGAGGTGCGACAGCCATGTGCCCCAAGAGCAGCTAAGAAAGTTTCTCGCCTCTTTCTCAGGAGTGGGGACAGATGGTCCTCACAGAGCCCGCACCAGGTGGGACCAGGACGGCCACCGCCCTACTCGGGGAAAGGACCCCTCCCGCTTTTCCACGCGGGCATGGGGCAGCGGCGCTAGCCCGCGGGGCTTACCCAGCTTCTCCTGGCCGACTCCGTTGGAGCCGCTGCAGTTCTCCACCAAGGTGCTGGTCTCCTCGCGGTGCAGCGCAGCCTCCGCGTCCCCCGGCGGCTGCTCGGGCTTGGGGCCGCCGCGGGGGTGCTGCTGCCGGCCGCTGTGCGAGTGCCCGTGGCCGTGGGCGTGCCCGTGGCCCCCGGCGCCGTGGTGGTTGAAGAGGCAGAGCCCCAGCAGGTTGATGATGAGCCCCGCCACCCCCACGGCGATGACCACCAGCGGCTGCTGGATCTCGTGGGGCTCCGTGAAGCGCTCGATGGCCTCCAGCAGGATGGTGAAGCAGAGGGCGGTGAGGAACACGGCGTTGACGAGGGCGCCCATCACCTCGGCCCGCACCCACCCGAACGTGTTCTTCTTGGTGGCGCGGGTGCGCTGGGCGAAGCGCACGGCCACCAGCGCCACGACCAGGGCCATCACGTCGGAGAGCATGTGGAACGAGTCGGAGAGCATGGCCAGCGACGACGTGATGCGACTCACCGCCACCTCCACCACGAAGAACAGGAAGGTGAGCGCCAGCATGCACAGCAACCGCGCCCGCCGGTTCTGCCAGCACCGCGGCCCGCCCGGACCCTGCGCCGCCATCCCCCCGCACATCGCGGCTGCCCCGGCGGGGGCGCGAGGAGCGCGGCGGGCGGTCGGAGCCCCGAGCGCTCGGGCGGCCGCTGCGCTGCGCTCCGCTCCCGCCGCGCCGCCGCCGCCACCGCTCCCTCCGCAGGCGCCGGGCGAGCAAACTTTGCACCCGAGCCCCCTCACTCTTTTCACACGGAACCCGAGCGCCGCCTCGGCCCCGCCCCCGCCCGCGCCCCATTGGCCGGCGCGCCCCGCCCGCCCGGCCGTGCCCTCCCGCCCCCGCGCCCGGCCCCGCTCGCCATTGGCCCGCGCGCCCTCGCGACAGCGGGGCCCCGCCCCCGCCCGGTAACGCCCAGCGAGCCGCGGCCGCCCCGCTCCGCCCGCCCTCGCCTGAAACGGGGAGTGGGCGGGGCCACGGGTGACGCGCCGGGGGACGGCGCACTCCCATTGGCTCGTCCCGCCGGCTTTCCCCTCCCGCCCCGCCCCCGCAGGCCCCGCCCGCGGCGAGCGGGACTCGTGCAAAAGGTGCGCTTCACACGGCCCCGGCCCCGCGCGCGCCCGGGGGCGGGGCTACCCCTGCGGGCCTCGGGGCGGGGCCTGCGTGAGGGGCGCTGTGACGTCACGCGGCCTGAGCCGGGATTTCGGGGGGATTTGCGCTTTTTTTGCGACTTTTTGCGGCGGGGTTTCTGTTTAATTCTTCTCCTTGTTCGTGACGCTGAGGGCAGTAAGATGAGTGCGGACGCGGCGGCTAAAATAACTGGAGAAGAAGAAGAAAGAAGTTTTGCTTGGAGTTTTGAAAGGCTATATAATATAATAACCTATTAATAAAATAATAATATAATAATGGTTATAATATTCAATAATCATTATCAAATTTTATAATAATAGTTTTATAATAATACAGCAAAAGTATGTAAATGCTATGTAAAAATGCATATGAAAATTATGCAAAAGGTCAGTCCCTGGACACTGTTTGGTTTGTTAAACTTGTAGTTAGGAAAGGGAAAGCAGCGTGTTTGGAGACATCCAGAAAAATCACAGAAGCGTAACCACTAAATTTTTAAAAAAAAAAAAAAATAGCCAAAGTTACAAAAAGGCAGAGCTGACCTCTTACTTTGCCCACTGTGTTTCAGGGAACCAACAACACAGCAGTGAGAGGAAGAATGTGAAAGAAGCTGGAGAGGAGGCAGCAGCCCTAGCTCTTTGCAGCTGTCTATAGAGCTGTAGCTGTGTGTGTGGACCCATCGAGGCAGGAAGACAAATGGTGCCCTGAGATGGAAGACCTGGCCAGAATGCAAAATGTTGCTCCTGTACTTGGCGATTTCAAAGAGGTTGTGATTCAGGGTCTGTGCAAAAGTCCTGACTTCATTTCGGCAGTAAAATGACAGAAGATGCTCACGTGTCCACAAGGAAAGCGTTATCAATGAAATAACTGAGAGCAGTGATTCAGGACAGGCTTCCTTCCCCCTGAGCCCACACCTGGATACCACACTTACCCATATGTGCCATCCCCTCACCTTTGCTTAACCTTCCTGACATGACAGAGCTGTCTTGGGCACCACAGACACTGCTGTGCTGACCTGTGACCCTGAGCCCTGTTTTCTGTGAGAGTATCATTGTGTCAAAATCTAGGTGTGCTGTACCCTGGAAGTAGCGGTAGCAGCCTACACAGAGTTCTTTAATGGCCATTGTAAAGGGAGTCAGCAATTAGATTGCTATAAACTTCTCCTTGCCTGCCTGGCTCCCCGTATGCCTTAACGTCACTTGCTAAGAAGTAAATAACCAGGAAGCTGAACAGCAATCACGTGGAATTGGAACATGCCCATGTTGTGTCGTCCTCACTCCCACACAAGGCCATTAGTTAACAAGGAAGAATTGCCCAAATTTAGGATATATGGGTCAAGGAAACTGGTGCAGCTCAAACTTCTTTTAATTCCTGCAGGTGAAGTGGGTCATCATTTACAGGGATTGCTATTAATCCAATGGAATTTAGCAAGGAAGGGAGAACAACAAACTTGGTGTCTTTCATTGGCTCAGCTTCAGGAATTAGTGAAACTGGGTTTTAGTTGGTTGCCACTGGGGTATCATCAAGATTTTCTTGATTAAAAGTGCTCAGACCCCTCCTGAGAGAAATAAATAGGATATCAATATCAGTAGAACCCTTATGAATAAAACTTCATTATAAACTGTGTCAAGAGCTTTGCCTGATTTAAGGAGGAGACTTAAACGGCTTTTTGGGCTTCTTTCTTGGTATGCAAACAAAGTCCAGATTAATTTGTGATCCTTTTAGTGTTTGTTCACTGTGAGACCTCCTGATCTGCTCAAGGATATCCACACCACTGGTCAGTGTGGTGCAGCATTTCTCTTACAGGATGGTATCTTGTTGATCCTTAGCCATGTCCAGGGACAGCTTTTTGTCCTGCTATACCAGGCTGAATGCTTAATTCTACTTGGGGCCAAAAGCCACAAGACATGGACCATATACCCCAGGAGAATGGGAGGGCGTGGTTTCTTCCTAGGCAGGGAAGAAAAATTGTTCCTGAGGCCTTCCACTGCTCCCTGATGAATAGGGCTGGGCGTACAGTTTTGACCCAGCCACTGTTGTCTCCATAGGCTTCAAACACAGGGACTTTGATGAATGATCCCCCATTCTGGCAGCCCAGTCCTGCTGCCAGACGTGCCAGGCATGGACCAGCAGCTGGACCACACAGGATTTCACACTGCTACCTCTTCCCCACACTCGTTCTTGTAAACCAGTGGGCTGTACGCTGCAGTTTCCAGGATTTTCTATTGTATTACCATACACCAGCAGCCAAGAGGAACAGAGATAGTTCCTAAACTTAGGGCTGTCCATCTGGCAACATCATCAATTTTAAGATTAATGGGAAAGTGACTGATACAGGTACCTAATGAAACCTTCAGTGGTGTTTTACAGGAAACACAATGTTCTTGCTTATGCTTTTAGGGAGAATATTTTGTCTTCAGAGTAGGGAGGACTTTGGATTTTTTTTTTTTTAATTTATTTTTTAGGCTTCCAGGCATTGTTCATGACTCAAAGAATTCTTTCTCGGCTCAGCTTCCGGTCCACAGATGTGGAAGGACCCACATCTAAAATCTGTTTACTTACCATAAATGCTCTGTGTTCCAAGGGGAGAAGCAGCTGTGGATGTCTGGCACACAGCTTCCTCCCCCCCCAGAGCCAGGGAGCCAGGTGACAGGTCTGAGCAGAGAGCTGCTGCTTGTCACCTGTCCTGCAGCAAAACGTTTTGTACCAGCTCCTGCTGGGCTCTCCTGAGCCAGCCGAGGGCTGTGGGAAGAACAGGACTTTGGCTGGGAGTTTTGCTATTACTCAGCATGTTTGCTGAGTAAATAAAGTCACCGCTTTTTCCCTTTGAATTTCTGCGCAGGGTTGCGAGTGGAGAGATCTCGACCACGGAGGGCTCTTCATCACTCTGTGCCTTTCCACTTGGAAAAGGTGAAACCCTGCCTATGAACCACGGGTGCAGTCACATATTACAGAGCACACTGCCTCCTTTTAACGCCTAACTCTTCCCCTTTCTGTGCAGTCATCAGACCTGTCGGCTTTTAATGAGGGCCTGTGGGACTGTGGCAAACATGTCTCCATCTGTCTGTTCCACTTCAAGGCTGTCAGTGTTCATTTTAGGCTGCGTTTCTCCCAGGCAGTGTCTCTCTCTCTCTCTCTGGTAGCTGTCCTTACAAGGTTTCTTCAAATCAGATGAAGTCGGCAATACCAAAGCCAACAGAAGCACTCACTGTCCAGCTCCCTTGCATCAAAAAAGGTTGTTCCTTGTAATGAAAAACAACACAAATGAAAAGTGGGTATTACTGTTCACATAGCTCTAGGTTGGATTCACTCTTATGCACTGGTTCAGGAAAGCAACTTTATCAAGGAAAGTTAGACGTGTGTTTGCAGTTAATTAAAAGTCCTTCTTTGAACAGAGGCGAGTTAGGCATGTGCTTACATGCTTTTGTTTGTGACATGTAAAGAAAGGCTATAGCAGTAATTGGCACTGAGATGGGAAATGAAGGACACCTTGCTCTATAAAGAGATTTCTTCTTCTACCTGGTCACTGTATCTGTGAAATCTGGGCTCTTTGGAAGTCGGTGGCAGAACTCCAGGCAAGTTGAGGGGATCTGTATATCATCTGCTATACTTCTGAACCTTGCAAAGCAGATCAAAAACCCTTTTTGTTTCCCTTCCAAAACATTTTCTCCCTAATGAAGAAGCAGCTGATTTTTAAAATATGCCTTTCTTATGTCCAGTTTTGATCTTTCCTTTATTTTTCATTTTTACTTTCAAGCTGTTCACTTGATTCAATGGCATTCAGTATCCTGTAACTGCTCCAGAACTTCGGGCACAATTAACTGTGCGGCCAATCTATAATTGTTTCTAATGAACAGACGTGCCCTTTTCAGTGGACTAAAGAGCATTTCCTGGCTGTCTTGATTACCAATTTGTCTGCTTATGATAGAAATCGTATTTTCCTAAAATCCACAAGTAGGCAGGCAAAACAGTTGCTCTAATGAGCTGTGAAATTGATACTGATAAGGTATTAGTTAGAGTTAAAGCCTTATTCAGCTAGTGCTTGAGTGGATCCAACTAGAAAAATCACCACCATATTAATCATTAAAGGAAAAAAGGCAGGAGAACTTACAGTGTTACTCACTTTTGCACACAGTGTGGCTCTCTGGTGGAAAGAGTAACAATGATTCAGCAGGGATGGGAAAATTCTGTAAATATGGAATTTTGGAGTGAAAAAATTTCTTTGCATCTGATTGGTTCATAACATTTTTAATTATTACAGAAATAAATTATTGTCCTTCATACGGCGTTTTTAATAAATCATACTGTTAAGCTCTGCCTTTTATTATCTTTAGAAAGAACATGAGAACAAACCAATTCCCTTGGAGCCATGGTAATGAGTATCAACGAATCAATGGGTAATTGCTGAGGACAGACACTATGTGCTAATCACCGTGGTCCCTGCTACACCTATTTACAG